TATTCCACTTTCCCTTCCCACTCTTTTCTTATAAAGAAAAGAAGAGAAGAAATGGATTTGACGGAGGAAGACATGAATAAGAAGGGAAAATATTCTCTTTCTATGCATCCCGTCCTACGTCAACATTGCAGTATAGAAAAACGTTGTTAATCCACTAAATGTGACATTTACCGCTTTAAAGTTTGTTAATAAAAGCTAAATTTTATTTTAAAGTTACTTAAAACTACAAAATATAAAATATGACAGTCTAAACGAGTCAGTTCTAAAATAAATTCAGAGCTCGTAACAATTTGTCATCATTTATGACTCGCTGCATGTCGCGAAAATAGAAGTGTTAAAGTTATCAAGTTTTCTTTGTGTTATATTTTTAATGTCGAAGTAAATGCAATAAACATTATGCTCAGTAAACTAGGAGTGTGTTTGAAATTCAATCTGGAAGTTTCGTATCGTAGCACAAATTGGATTTAGGTGTTTCAGGCTGTTACTCAGCGACCATTAGACTTAATTTATCTCTACTAACGCTACTGTATGTGCGCTGTTTACTTAACTACTTACTAGAAGTTTATGTACGTTTTTTTATTTTATTTGTTATCATCAGTAGAGAAGGATTTCCATATCAACAAAAATGGAGTTTTAGAGGAATTTAAAATGTAAAAAAAACAGTGAGAAAATAGACCTATTAGTACTTAAGTAAATTAACCTAACCTAATTTAGGGCTGCATGTGCCATAAGTTGACACTGGCTGGTTCGGATTGGAAACCTAAATACTTAAAGCAAAATCTGTTACTTATAATAATTGAATAGTTCACAACACTATCTGACTAATATTTTAAATGCGTACGTTTAGATGAATGGATAGTTAAATATTTATCAGAAGGTTTCTTTAGGACGACTGTATGGATATCGCTGAAATGTGGCATAGATGTAGAACATAATCAGGAAGAACACAAAGGCTACTCATTAAGTTTTCTTTTTTATTCCGCGCAGACGGAGTTGAGGGTGACAGCTAGTTATTTTATACATGAAGAGAAATGTAATTTAATTGAAAATAATGTTGAATACAAAAAGACACCTTTGAAGTGGTATCGCTACGAAAGATCGCCGCCGGCGACACGTTCGAGATTCAAATCTGTCGGAATTGAGCTCGAGAGAGGCGTTACAAAGCCTTTGTCACTTACAAGAGGCCAACAAGGACATTTTGTACTTTTATTTTTTAACCTTATATTTTAATAAATTTAGATTTGACAGAAAAAATGAACAATTACTTTTTATCACTATGAAAAAAACCATTCACAATTTGCAGTCGCTACTCAAAGATACTCTCCAGCGCACACTGACAGTTGGAAGCTGTCGGTACCGACTGCTTGAATCACTCCGTGTATTTCTAGCTTTACGATAGTCAATGTACGATATTGATTGGTCTTAGTAGCAAACGTTTCAATATAGTTCATTGACTCGGAAATGCTCCTGGAAATTGAATCTGGTAGTCGTTGAGGCATAAATTGAATCAAAGACGTGCTAGGGCAGTCTTTTATAACTTAAAAGTTGGTTTCTTCAGAAAAAACTTTGTTTATATGACAGCAATATTTTAATAGTTGATAAAAAAAATCTTAAAATGTTTAATCATAAAATCTTCTAATTGTTTTGTTAATCATATAATCTTTACAATTTTTGAGATTTACTTGGTTATTTCTCGTCTGTTGTTACCATCGTTAAGTTTATATAGACCGAAAGACACAGATTTTCTTTAATAAAATAAATCCTTAGCCAATATTATAGAAAAGGAAAGTCAAATGTAGCGAGACATGATCGGAATAACAAAATCACGTGTCTTACGTAATATACGTTCACGGCCGTTGAGTCTGATTTTGTGATGCGGTTTGCTTGTGTTCGGGCGAGAGTAGATAATCTAAGGGTGCGTACACATCTGGTGAATGCGGAGCTCAAAAAAACAAAAGAAAACCTTGTTATTTCTTGATATCTGCCATCGGCTAAATGCAAGTGAACGTAAGCAACTAAAAGATTTATAATTAGCAATCTATTTCGATTTTAACAGTGGTAGCGCCCGCTTTAACATCTTCGCACGAATTGGCCCGGCTCGCCCGGTGAAATACCACGACCACACAGAAGACAGGCATGAAGTGGGAGCAATTCCGCGTTTCGTTTGATGTGTGTGCGTCCCGGAGGCCTAATTTAGTCCTCTTACCTTTCCTACCCTTTTTCTTGTAATGAAAGGATGGGACCTGGAAGTGGACTTTCCGGATGAGAGGATGCATGGGAAGGGAAAATATTTTCTTTCTGTGCATCCTCTCCTCCGTCAATTAAAGGTAGGCAACGTATATGCAATTGCGTATGTCTATGGGAAAGGTCACTTCGCTTTTTCAGCGACTTCAGGTGGCCGCTCGCTCGTTTGCGCATTATGATATAAAAAAATCCTATGTTCAACTACTTCTAAATAGTGTTCAAAGCTAATTTTTTAAATCGTAAACAAATTCGCAAGGTGATGTAAACGGAACAGATTTAATGGCGTAGATTTACTAACGATTATTGCGTTTTGTTTACACTTGTCTGTTACGAGATTTTGAATGCGATGCATTTAATAAACCACAAAAGCGTATTGTTGAAATAATGTGTATTCATTAATTTTAAACACATATAAAAATGGTAAACATTTGCAACTTAAGTTAAGTTTAATTTAAGTTACATTTGATTTATTCGGTTAGTGTTTCTAATTAAGTATTATTTTCTAAGTAAATTACTTCCATAATAATAAATAACTAAATTATATTTATAATTGTACTTACAAATTTTCTCATTTCATTGAACACGCTGTATTTCGGTAAAGGACCTCAGTATTATAAAAATTAAATTACTATCATCTTATACATAAAAGATTAAATAATAACTATAGAAGTGCTGCGTTGCTAAGCGCCATATTGCAGTGACATGTTTCATTGTGGCTCTCATCATGTCTGCGGCTGACACAATTTCATCGTACGTAGAAATTTATAAGTGGAACAAGACATGTTCTGCACTTAGATAGGACAATCCAACTCCATCTAACATATGTATCGGAACAATATTAATTACGTGAATGTTGTTGTTTAATTTTTGATCTCAAATCTATTGAAATAGAGATAAAATTAGCTTATGTTATAGTTGTTATTAATGAGGCATGTAATGGGTTTCCAGTTGAGATATCTTCCAGTAATTTAATAAAATACTAAACTCTACCCTGACATGTTTAAAACTCGCCTAGAATAGTCTCATTTTGTATCATTAGGGAAAGTAGTTACACAATATGGTCTATAGCTCAATTTATATTAAAAAAAAATAAAACATTTAGCTTTGTATATTTATGTTCAGAATATTAAAATACAAGCAAAAATAATAAATCTTTTGGATTTAACAGCGAATGTCATGATAAAATTCAGCGGAAATTAACAGTGTTCATATAACATATATGTTCTGTACATTTGTTTCTTGTCCAGTGAGCCGGAAGTGCCTCGGGAATTGATTCTGGAAGTTGCCGAGGCACGAATTGAATTTAGGCGTTAGCGCCTCTGCGTCGCCATTACACTTCATTTATCTTGTGTGAAATATAGCTAACGGATTCGCTTCTCTGATTTGTATTGCCTCAACGTATTGCTTTATTGGATAAAAGGGATAATTGATAAAAACATACGTTGTAAATGTTGCAAAATGGGTTAGAGGAATTGACGTTGCTTACGTCACATCCTAACAACGTTTATTCTTCAAAATAATTAAAACAAAATATCGGCTATCGAATTTCATATCGGGTTTTAAAATTAAATTATATTTATTAAAACAGTAACTTATCCAACAATATGTTATTATTAGAGAATTAAAGAATACTAAAATGAACTTCGTAAAATAATCACGATGTAATTGATAAAACGTCGTATTCAATATCTTGTTCGATTTCATTAGAGTTTTATCTTTACGTATCTGGGTACAAGTTCGTCCCCAGCGGATCGAGAAAATGGGTACAATGGATATAAGCGGAGCGCACTGAATGACTATTCACATCTTACAAATACGTCATTAAAGTGAACTTATCTATGCATACTTTAGTTTTTATGCCACCGATCGTTTGTGAGCTTAGACAGTGAACGAAATATTGTATTAATGCAAAATTAAATTATGAAAATCTTTTGTTTGTATATTTTCTGATCCTATTCATTTATTTCGATTTTCAACTATCGAAGTTCACAATCGATCGGTGGCATCCATATATCAAAGCGTATGTCCGTGTTTAAATCAATGTAAGTATATCTTCGAATCGCCTGTTTACAATATAGGTTCTATTAAAAGATTTATTATTGTTAGTCGGATTTTATTTTATGACTCACTGTATTAACTGCGTAAATTTCTTTATAGACATGCAAATATTTATAATACACGAAGTATTCATTTGTTTTTATCTCATGTTGTTATGTTTCTCATGCCATATGGTAACATGCAATAAAACTACAACTTTAATGTTTTATCACCAGAAGTCTTCGAACATCTTATCTTTCTTGAAGTGTAATGTTTTTCTTATTGGAATGTACATTGATGTTGTTTTAGAATTTGCCGATGACACAATTGATGAAATTATTTCTAGATATTTACCGTTGGCCTTATCTAATAGCTCGTTTCTCCAGCTCCTATAATTTATTAGTGTTAAAGTTTATTGTTTTACAAAACTCTTGTCTAAAATGATTTAAGGTGTCTATAAACTCACTTTCATTGTTACAGGAAACTAGTTCGATTTATGGGTTAGTGATTTTGAACTGTATATTTACGAATCGAAGGCGGTTCGTAAATAGACCGAGACTTTTATAACTTTAGTGGGCCACGTGTTGAAAAATCCTTAACGCTTGGCTTTCGTTTCAGGTGGCAGTATTAATTGAGAATGGCGCCGGGAGCGAGGAAATAGTGCGTGGCGGCTGGCGGCGCTGGGGCGGCGCGATGGGCCGGGGGCGCGCGTAGCCAGCATGGAGGAGGACGAGCGGCGGCTGTCATTCGGGCCGCCAGCGCCGCTGCACTCGCCCGGCGAGGAGATCGACGGCTCGCGGCTGCTCGGCGAGATCGTGCGCACACTCGAGGCCACCAACCCGGAGGCGGCCGCCCCGCTGGCGGCCTCGCAGTCGCGCGATGAGCTCGCGGAGGTGGCGCAGCGGCCGCGACGGGACGAGCTACGCATCCCGCTGGACGTGACGTTCGCGGAGCCGACGAGTCGCGAGGGGCGTGACGGGCGCGACGCGCGGGACGGGCGCGAGGAGCCGCGCGCGCTGGTCACGCCGTTCACGCGCGAGTCGGCACGGCGCGCGGGCTCCCGCGGCGCGCAGCTGGTGCGCGAGTTTGGTTTCATGCCGCGTCGCCGGCTCAGCGTGGAGGATGGCGCGCGGCTGCCGCGCAAGTACGAGCCCTTCCCGCCCAACCTCTACGGACGACCGCTCGAGGAGATTGACAATTTTATTTATGACGAGGTGAGTGAGTGAAACAACTTTTAGAAAATTCCCAAATCTATACGTTTTATAACTCTCTCCTTTTGTAGAGATTTAAATTATTCTTCGTCTACAAAGTTAAAATATTTACTTTAAAAGTTATTTAATGAAGATTATTTGAACAGTAAACCGTTAATTATTTATTCCACTTTCATAAGAGGAACAAGTTTTCAGATTTACTTAATTAAAGTTTTAGGGGAGATATAAAATAAGACTTGCTTTTATTGCGTGCCTTTTTATCAATTAAGTGAAGTAATAAGGTTTAGTTTGAAATATATTTGTAAACCTATATATTTGTAAACTGATTGTATTATTAAAAAGCTCGCAAAAAATTTAATACTATTGTGTCGCACTCAAAAGCTAGAGCGGAATTATCACAAAAGTTAAACACAACTGCACATGTCGGCGCGACACAGCTGCAAATCCTGAATTTAATATTCACTTGCAATTTAGCAGTTTTGTAGTTCAGCTATTTGTTTCAACACTTTATATGAAGTTGTTATTCGAAATAGTTAAAACCAGAGTACTTTATATTGAAAAAAATATCATAGTTTATTTTTTATACAAACGAAAGCTTAACGGTTTCCATTGATCGGCAAATGTCGTCAAACTCACAATGGACGATTAACAATCATATTAAAAGCATATGTGGTTAACAGAAACTTGGCTAATTTTACTGCTTTTAGCTGTGTAAAAAATGTCATTTCGTCTAAGAAATTCTAATGCAAGTAGGTATTGTTGCATATAAAAACTGCTATACCAAAATTATAAAAACAATGTGTTCGGTTATAACAGTATGGATAAAAAATCTTCGAATACTGTCTTCTTTTTTTTTTCTTAGGTGACAATGAGAATATCATATGATCTTCAATAAAAAGGGAACAGAAATTTTTATTATCTTACTTTAACTTCCGCCATTTTATCCACCCTTTATATTGAATTCGGGTAGTAAAAAATGATCACCGACTATTTTCTCTAGTGACAAAATATCGTGGTTCGTATATTTGTTACGTAACGTATTATACACGGTGTCTTATAAAACTAAAATGGATTGTTTCCATGATTTTACATTTTACAGGCCAAAAATAAAAAGAGAATTATAAACAAAAAATATTTAACGTTTGTTACATTTTTTTGTTAAGTAATAAAATACAGTCGTACATTGATAAGTGAGAGTCCAAGAGATCGCGTCATTTTTCTCGCTCGTAGAGTTATCTATCTAACGCGAGTTTCTCGCTTACAGATGTCGTCCGTCGGTACCGGACAATGACTCTCGCTAATAGAGGTTTCTCGCTTATCGATATAAAACGATGTTTCTAAACATCAAGTAAGATTAACTTATAATTATTTAAATAGTACAAAGATTAACTTTATTGTCATCAACAAAACCAATAGTCAGCAGTTTAATTTAACAAAGACAGTGAATGATGACGCAGTTTCCACATTCACCTGTAAAATGCATCCGCAATTACTCTGCAGTGAATGTGAATGCTTCATTTTGCATTTAAAATCCATATAATCACTACGTTATATATCTTACGTAAGTTATATTTAGAAAAGAAATACTATAATTATATTTAATATGCTTCATTTTTTAAACATGCTGTAGTGATAATTAATACTTATTTTTTTGTCTCTTTCTTGCCTTGGAACATACTTTATATGATTTTAATGAATCAAGATGAAATAGATGCGAATTATAAAATGCTTACAGGGTGTTCTAAAAATAAACAATCAAGCACTACATCACTAGTCGGATTTTCTAAAACTAGAGTGTATATTGCAATCACGCCAAGTGCTACAATAGTATTATTTTTGACAGTATCAATATTACCTCACGTGTCACATGTTGTTTGATACCGTCGCTCAGTATGTGTGAGCACCCTCTATCATAAATGTTTATTTTTGTTGATTGGTTGACTCCATAGATAGCCTTATAGAAGTATTCGTCGCTTTTTAAGCTTAAATTTTTAGATATTGTGCATGTAGACATCAATGTAACTTCATCTGGAATTTATCTATCGTAAATCGTACTATTATTTGGGACAGATTAATCCTGTTGCTTTTGTCACTTCTTCGATATTTAAAAAGTTACACCCGAGCCTCACACAACGGCAAGTAAAAGTCGGTTCATTTCCATTTGTAAAGAGCACAGATGACGAATTATGTATACGTTGAAAACAGCAGCACGGCAGCCAAAATGCATTTATTCCGTTGTTAAAATACTTTTAAAACTATAAATTTATTTACAAAATAAAATTCCATTAACTCTATTTACAATATTTCGTTGATAACACTTCGATTACCCGAGCTTTTTTCATAATTAAAAAGGCAAAGGTTCTTAGAAAAGTACGCCACATTTTTGGCAGAATGTTTAATTTTTCATTTAAATCAATAAAGAATTAACTTCATTTATATGGTCAATAGTTTACTCCTATATGTTTTATAATACTTAAAACATATTCGAACGAAACTTCAAATGTTAAAATGAGAAGAGTCATTTAATAGAGGTATTGGTATTCAAGAGGCAGTTCAGCTTTGAGTTGAACGCGATCCTAACGGCTACGACTGCTGAGTAGACTTGTAGTAAACAGTATTGGAATCATTCCAAAACTTGTAATCTCATGAATGTAAGACGTTCTTAAAAGAATTTTAATATTATTTATTCGTCTGTTGAATTAAATAATAAAAAAACATAATGAAATATGTACGCGAACGTATTTTTGTGGTGTGGGTATTATGTAACGACTCCAAAATTAAAAAATGGCTGTTTTCCTAGAACAAATAGATTTACAGATAACTGCATACAAACATTTTTTAAAACAACATACGATTGTTTAAGCGATCGTTTACGTGTGGTGATTAATCCTCGTTGCTATTTTCAATCGCTTTTTAAATAAATAACATCGTTGAAAGATCGAATTTCGCGTACGTTAAACAAGTCTCTCTCGTAAATTCGGTATATTTAGGTACGGGATGGAAACGCATTATACGTCGGCTTAACGACCCGAAATGGAATTCTACTCGGGCACAGTTTACGATACCATTATGTCACTTCGGATTGATTTATACGAATTATAAACATGAATGAGTACTCATCTTTATATCGCTGACTCAAAAAAAAAAACTGAAAAGTCTAACTCAATTATTAATTTTGTATATATAATCTTTAAGTTAAGAAACTAGATTTTTAACATATGTTCCTCAAAGTATTGTAACTCTAGTTAGTTTTATTATAAGACATAATATTGTATGATAACTACTAGCTAGCGCGGAATTAAAAAAATAATTAGTAGCCTATGTGTTTTTCCAGGCTATGTTCTATATCTATTCCAAATTTCAGTGAGACCTGTTGAGCCGTTCCCGAGATATCTTCAAACATTTATTCATCCATCCATACAAACATTGGCATTTATAATATTAGTATAGTATCAAGAAAAACATTTCATGTTTAATGCATGAAGTAATACAATTATGCATAAAACTATAGTTAGTTAAAATAGAATGTAAAAAAGCAATTGCAAGACCATCTCTGTAATCATTTTAAATAAAACACATTTGATTTATGACACAGTTAATATTAGTAGTGTGTATTTAGAAACAATGTAATATATGGTGCATAACGGGAATGTAATATTCAAACTTAATGCCTGCTCGTGATTAGCCCGCAGCTAACCACGCGTGTCTACGCATGTCAGTCAGTTAAGCATTGCGGATGAAGTAAAGCAAGCGTAGGGCTGTGCTCCGTCAATTAAATTGTTTTATGCGCAGCGTCTCGTGCAAAATTGCTCCTATAAAGTTTGGATAGTACTGTACCGCCGTGCTAATTATTGTTTGAGTTCGTTCTTTCGTGTTATAGTTTAGTGGCGCGCTCGAGCGTGATAGTCGGGTGTTGATGGAAAATGAAACACAAGTCGGTCAGGGACGACATTCGGTATTTACAAGCTGTATATTTTTTAATGCTTTGATACAGTAATTACTTATTTTTGCACTCAAAAGATGGTTTATACATAAATGAACAAAGCTAAAGTTGTTAATTAAAAAATTAAAATGTCAGAGTGAGTGTATGACCTGTACGATCCGTGGAAAAAACGACTTTTTTTATAAGATTAGGGGGCAAACGAGCAGCGGGAACACCGAGGTTCATCGACGCCCATGGACATGCTCGATTAGAGGAACCGCAGATGCGTTGCCCGCCTTTGAGATGGTGATACGCTCGCTTCTTGAAGGACCCTAACTCGTAGCGGTTTGGAAATACCGCCGAGGTTAGACTATTCCATAACGCGGCTGTGCGAGGTAGACAATTCCGCGAAAACCGCATGGTTGTGGATTGCCAGCCATCGAGATGGTGTGGATGGAACAAATTTCTTGTTGTTGTTGATTGGTTGTTTAATTATGTTTTAAGCAATGCTAGGTTGTTACTTAACATCATTTTTTTCTCAATATTATTTCAATAATTAAAAAAATATAATTCGACCTCTGTTTGCTTTTCGTCTTTTAAAATCTCAGTACTCTCTCACTAATAAGGCTTTTGATTCGATGTTGTTTTTTGTTTGATGTCGTCAGTCGTCAGTCCAACCTTGGAAAGAAGATCGAATTGTTGAAAGACCTGATTTGGAACGATGCCAAGTCAATTAACGTCATTAAAATGTAGACCTGTTTGTTTATTTTAATAAATCGAAATAAATAGGTATATAAAGCTATGAAGATAACGCTGTCATCAAATATAACTGAGTAAACAGAACAGTGAAGAATAAATGGCTTTACAGACAAATGACAAAAATACAAAATGCTAGGGACATTTAGGTACTATATGTAATCCGCAAAACGAACATATACAGACCATATATCCAAGAGCATGCTGTAATGTAGATATAGACGACAAGAGCATATTATTTCTGACCTCTATACCACAGAATTATGACAAAATTTCTTGAGAAATTTCTCTGTACCCTTCTGGAAAATAAAACATAGTTCATCAT